TGTGTGGGAACTCACACCATTTTTCTGTTCCCACCATTTTTCTGTATATCTAAGATGTGATTAAAAAAAAGGAAGTTAATTTTTTGAAGTTGAAAACTAACTGAGCTGTTCATCAAGTTGATTCTATAGACTAAAGAGAAATTTTAAATGAGTTTGAAACGCTGTATCCTGAAAACAAACATACACACAAAGAAACAGAGGTCTTCAGTACTGTTAATGCTGGTCACAGTATTTTGAGACAATGTTGCTGTGGGGAGAGAGACAAACACAGTTACATTAATAGTATTAGGAGCTGAGCTTTTCAGCTCAGGAGATACAGGCTACAATATAAAACCAAAGAGTACAAAAATACAGTCAGGTTGGCCAGGTGGCTTTGTGGTGTGGTCCCTTGCCATCAATGCTGACAATCTCTCTTCAACCCTAGGACCCAAGGAGGGGCTGTCTTTTGCTCTCCACAAGCCAGTGTGCACCCACAAAAAAATAAATAAAATTTTTAACTTAAATTCTTTACTTAAATTGGGTGCTGGAAAGATGTCTCAGTAGTTTAGACTCCTGATGCTCTTGTAAAAGACTTAGGTTCAATTCCCAGCACTCACATGGTGCCTCACAACTGTCTTAACTCCACTTCCATGGAATCCAGTGCCCTCTTCTGATCTCCATAGGCACCAGACATGCATTGGTACACAAACATACATGCAGGCAATACCTACCCACATAAAATAAAAATAAATAAATCGTTTAAAAAATCTTTACTTAGGTAAGTTAATAACTTGAATTCTCTGTCTCTAGATAATGTGCATTTTCTAGTTCTGTCCACTGAAAATGCCCAGGATAGATGAGCAATGAGGGACCCAAGAGCCTAGATTGTAACATCTACTGTTTTCCATTAAAAAGAATCAGGTCTTCTTGGAGACATGGCTAATTGTAAATCTGAGGTTGATGAGCCTAGGAGATCCTGTCACCCCTGAAGTAAAGGAACTTAGGGCATGTCAACAAAACACAGCACAACACGGAAGAGCCAGTGAACTTCCGTGGGCCACAGAGGACAGAGTGCTGAGCATGAGGAAAAGTAGCTTGATTAAACCACACTAAATATGGAAAAACCTATGAGCCCTCATGGAAACACTTCGTTTTCTAACTTTGGGGAATTTTAAAGCATCAATCATTCTGATAAAAATGAAAATTAAACCAGGTGTGGTGGCACAGGCATTTAGTTCCAGCACTTAAGAGGGAGAGGCAGAAGGATCTCTGTTCAGTTTGAGGTTAGCCTGGTCTACATAGTGAATTCTAGGTCAGCCAGAGCTACAAAGTGAGACTCTGACAGAAGAGAGAGAGAGGAGAGAGAGAAGATGGGGGGAAAAAGGAAAGGTAAAGAAAAAATGGGGGCAAAAGGAGAGGTAACTCATTGGTTAAGAACCCTGACTCTTCCAGGGGACCCAGGTTAAATTCCCAGCAGCTGCATGATGGCTTACAAGTATAATTCCAATCTCAGCATATCCAGTGCCCCCTTCTGGTCTCCTTGGGCACCAAGCATTCTTGTGGTACATAGACATATATGCAGACAAAACACCCACACACATTAGATAAGCCTTTTTAAAGGCAATAATTAAGTCCTTGCCATACCTCCTCCTGGACACAGTGTATTTCTCAGTAACCATGCATGCTCTGTGGAATCACAATAAGCTCACGGGGAAAGAAAACTAGGAAATCACATGACTTAGAGCCAGTCAATGATCAATTTCACTGCTCTAACCATTAGATAAAATGTTGGGGTGGGGGGGCTTTGATGTAGTGGATCAAACTGACAACACTTGAACCCACTGATGAATGTCACTAAAATTTCACTAGGGACACAATATTCTTCCACCTATGGAAGATAACTGCCAAAAAACAATATTGAATGTAATCAAGCTTCTAACATCAGCTTACAGAAAGTGCAGTTAAACCCGGCACCACAAGGACACCAAGAGTCAAAGCCAGAACATGGAAAATTCTGTAGCAGAAATTATATAGTTTATTGAATAAATAATGGTCCTGGCTGAGCGGTGGTGGCACATGCCTTTAATCCTAGCACTTGGAAGGCAGAGGCAGGCGGATCTCTGTGAGTTCGAGGCCAGGCTGGACCGATAGCCTCCAAAACAATACAGCGAAACCCTGTCTCGTAAAAACCAATAAATAAATAATGGTCCTAAAATAACAAAGGAAACTATCATTAATAAAGAGAGACATACCAAATGTGATGGTTAGTGATGACTGACAACTTGACAAGACTTAGAATTACCCAGGAGACAGGGCTTTGGGTGTATCCGAAAGGATGTTTCCAGGAAGCTGACTGAAGTGGGAAGACCCACCCTGAACACAGCCCCATTCCTTGAAATGGTATTTATCTCTCTTTGCTTCCTGGCTATTGGCACAACGTTACTATAATTGTCTCTTCTCCTGCCTTCATGCCTTCCCCACCATGATGGACCGACTGTGTCCTCAACTCATGAACCAAAGCAAACCCTTCCTTCTTAAGTTGCTTCTGCTGGGTGTCTTGTCGCAACTATAAGAAGAGAAACTAATACATCAACCAAACACAAGATGTAGATCCTTCCAGACATTCCAATTTGAGTGAACCAAATTCAAAAAGACATTTTAGAGACACTGTGGACATCAGAACATAGATTGGGAATTTGATACTATTAACTTGTAGAGCAAGGTGTGGGGGCACATCCCTGTCCTGTCACCAGCTGTGGAGACACATCCTTATAATCTCAGGAGTTATGCGGTAGACGCTGGGGGATCTGAAGTTCAAGGTCATCATCTGTCACATAGAGATTTTGGAACCAGTCTGGGTTACACAAGACCTGGCTTCAAAAATATAGTAAATAAAATAAAATAGAGAAATTATAGTTAACATTGGGGGTGATAGTGGCACTGTATTTATGTCATAACAATTAAAAGTCTTTATCTGCCAACAGGACATAGGGAAGAAGAGATAACTAAAAGACTATATGATGCTTTTGAGTCACTGTAAAATATTCTAATACCTCCCAAAAAACATACCACAAGTGGTATAGCTGGGCAGAATTGAAGTGAGAGAGGAGAATATTGTCAGTTACTAATGGGTGCATGAAATCTTCTCCTAAGATCACATTTGCTTAAACATGTCTGAAATAAATATTTTAAACATATTTCAACAATTGGTCCAGGTTTGTGGGTGCTAAGGAGATTTTGGCTCCAAATTGGGGTTCTTTAAAAACAAGCAGGTAATGCTGGTTCACATGACCCAGGACCAGCTAAGGGACAGCTGCAAGTGTAATTGCTTGGAAGGGCTGGAGACAAGCCCTTACAACCTTCCTAACACAACAGCTCTTCAATACAGTTCCTCATGTTGTGGTGACCCCAATCATAAAATTATTTTGTTTGCTCCTGTTATGAACTGTAATGTAAGCATCTGGTATGTGACACCCAGGGTTCGTGACCCACACGTTGAGAACCACCACCTTATAGGTACTTGTTGACTGAAGATGAAGTGTCTGTTCTGATGATGAACTGAAGTTGGAAAATTTTTTGCAATCAGAAAAAGGGGAAAGATAAAATGGGTTAAAACTGGCAGAGAGAAGACATCCTGGCGTGGATGCTCAACTCCTAGAACCGCATAACACCTGTCTGTCAGAGTCCAGAGCAAGGCATTCTGGATTCTCCAAATGCACTAGCTGGAGGAAAGACTGGGTTCTCAGAGACTTGTTAAATGGGCATGTCTGTAATTCACCTTCCCCTGCTGCCATTGGCTGTGGGGACGGCTAGTTTCTTCAATCTATTCTTTCGTCTATTGGTGTATTACAACACCCAACAGCCTCCCTCTCCCTTCTACCCAAACTCCAAAGAAGGTGTAATTTGGGGGCTTCCGACCCTCCATCCTTTCAATTTGCCTACACGCATATTTTAGCTCAGTTGCCAGCAGCAATAAAGAAGGAAATCAGTGAAGCGCTTACTGCTGTGAGCTGTCCCCTAAGATGTCTGAGAAAGCAGATATGTTTAGGTAAACCAGAAGTAAGAATCCCCCAGGGGCGGCTCAGATACTGAGTTTAATTGGGCTGCAGCTGCTCCCCCCCCCCTCTGGTTCAGCTGACAGACAACAGGGATTTACCAGTTAATTGGCTGTTCCCACGATTGTCATTCGCTTAGGCCCTCTTCCTAGTCTTTGTAGCTACAAAATGCTTCTCTTAAAACTTCTCTTAAAATAATTTGCTTTTGTGTGGCTCCCCAAGACTCAGGTGGGACCCTCAGATTTTTAGGATTTGTCAGAGAGGGGCCCGTCTGTGCAGGGGATGCTGTGTGTTGTAGGACTTGGGGTTTTGCTGTGAAAATTCAGCACAACTGGAGACCAGTGTCCTGCATTACATAAAGGTGTTGGACCTGGTTCAAGTCTCAGAACCAGTCAAACGGGTTGAGGGAGTTTCTTTAAACTTCTCACCACCCAACTGAACAGAGGGAACTTTCAGGTGAATGGTTTACTTGGAAGTGGTGAGAAAGGTCAGTGAGCTGGGGTTTAGATTTCACAGCTCTATCTATCATCCTTTCAATAGGCGAGAGACCCCCTCCCCCCCACAAACAGATGCAAGGCCACAGAATTAAGCAATCGGCCCACTGGGCCCACCGGCTTTCAGTTCATCTTTAGAGCTTAGCTTTTCAAGTTGGCAGGCTTCTGACATTAAACATGGTGGGGACCACTGCCAACATCAATACATTATGTGTGTTTGTATGCTTGCCTGGCCTCCAGTTGCATTATGGTACTGGGTTTTGGTGGTGGTCACTCCATCTTCTCTCTTGACTACTCAGTGTCAAAATACTGTCCCCCAGCTTTCTGCCAAACTATCCTAGAGCCTCCTGCTCTGCCCTGTCCAGTGGAAACTTCCAGAGTAATTCAGAGAGTGTGCCTCTTTAGAGTGTTTTGTCTTTTTTTTTTTTTTTTGTGGCAATTTTGACATTCAGGAATTCTAATTGGTTCCTAGGAGGAGATGAGATGATTCTTTTGGCTCCAACAACCTCTACAACATTTCAGCAAGGCCGTTCTCTGTTTACCAAATGAATACACTGGCCCAGGAGCCAAGGAGAAATCAGTTCCAGGCCTCTCCAATGAAAAAAGAGAAGAATGCTATAAGTTCTAAATCCAAAGGGAAGTCTTGGGGTTGAGTTAACTGGAGAGTCTGTGCTGAAGGTAGGTGAGGTCAAGTGGATTAGTGTCTTGCTAATATGTTGTGTGCACCTTGCATCTCAGTTGCTTCCCACCTTCCCCCCTCCCCCACTCAGCACGGGGAAAGAAACGTTTTCAAATCCCTGTGTCAGTACTGAGAGGTGACTCAGTGGTTAAGAGTGCTTGCCATGGACCTGAATTCAGCTCTCAGCACCCACATGGGGCGGCTCATAGCCACCTGTAACTCCAGCTCCAGGGGATCCAAGACTTCCATAGGCACTTGCACATACCCTCATGCTTACACATAGACACACATATGCATAATTAAAATAAAAATAAATCTTTGTTGTTATTTTTTTGTTGTTTGAGACAAGGACTTGCTATATAGCCTTGGCTGGCCTTCAACTCACTATGTAGAGCAGGCTGGCCTTGAAGTCACAGAGATGCATCTGCCCCTGCCTTCTGGGTGCTGGAATTAAAGGTGTAAGCCACCACCATATCTGGATAAACATAAATCTTTAAACACACACACACACACACACACACACACACACACACACACACACACACACACACAGAGTAAATGAATCCCAGTATGGGATGAGAGAGATGACTCAGCAAGTAAATGCACTTGCCTCCAAGCCTGATGACCTGAGTTCTATGCCTTGGATCCACATGGAGGAAGGAGAGAATATTCCTGCACATTGTCCTCTGATCTTCTCACGTGACATATCATGTACACACCCACATACACGTATGCACATACACACAAATAAATAAATGTGAGTAAGAAAAAAATCCCAGTGTCCAGGCAGTTCCCCATATCAATGACATCACTCTTGATGGGGTGCAGGGGGCATTTTGTTCCTTCAATTCCTCAGTTCATTCCAACATAATGCAAATGTCAACAGCCATCCAACTCTGCTGCGAAAAGAACACATTAGCATTCCCAATGCCACTTTCCACTTATGAGTTTGTAGGTGTGCAAAGTCAGGAGCAGCACTATGCTGAGATGATTGGAACTCAAAATTCTACAACTCTCTTTCAACCGTCTCCACTGGAAGCAAGGAGCATCCTGCAACCGGCTGCTTTCCCATCCCACCTGGATCTTCTCGAAAGCCGGCCGCCACCTAAGAAGATCTATCTAATCGGGTCAGCGCGTTGGTGAGTTCGGATTGCGTTACCCAGCCTAAGTAAATAAGAAGTGTTGGTTTACAGAGGAAAAATACAGGTTCCCTGGTGTGTCTGATACATGTGGGCCTACCAACTAGTTTCAAGCGTGTAGTGGAATTTTTTCTTAATGCATATTTAAGTCCCCTGGTGTGCAGTTTCCAGTTCCTCTGATGTTCAGTTAATTGGAAATGCACCTTACTCAAGAAAGTCTTAAAATAAAAATGTATCCCTCTCCTTACTCCACTGGTGGAAATTTAAATACATACAAAGTTAAGGAGCCTGTTAACCAAAATGTGTATTTGGGGTCAGGCTTATACTTTAACCAGATATTATTGGAGTTGTCTAAATACAGAGGGAGGAGGGAGAGAGAGAGAGAGAGAGAGAGAGAGAGAGAGAGAGAGAGAGAGAGAGAGAGAGAGAGAGAAGCTTTAACTCCTGAACTAAGTGCAATTAGTCAGGCATAAAGGAAGTTTAAAGGGGTGCTAATTGCTTTTTAAAAGATAAATTGAATTGAACCAGAGAAGCAGAAAATTACCTTTGTTGAGAATCATCTTGGTTGTTTAAGAAGGGGAGGGCTTGTTGAAATTGGAACAACTGACTGCGCACGGGCTGAGAGGACCTCCCCCTTTCTCCACCAACCATAAATCCCAAAGGGGAAACTTTAAGTTTGCAATGCCCAGTTAAAGCCAGGTGGGATTCCCCAGACCCTGGTAAGCCTCTCGCACATCTCACATCTGCGCCAACTTTTGTCTTCTTGTCTCTTGGCTAGGACTCTCAATGTCATTTGTAAATGCTATCTCCAAGGGTGTGTGGAGAAACTGCCTAAGCGAAGGTAATTGAAATTCAGTTTTAGTTTTAAATAGGCCTTTGGGCAGGGGTGAAGGAGTGCTCTATTCTGTGTACTCCACAGACCGTGAGTGTGTGCGTGTTACTCATAAAGTGAGTCCAATGTGTGTGGAAGAGATAGTGTTTATAGTTTTGGGAGTCCTGCTAAGGAGGTAGAAAAACTAAACAAAACCTGGTGTGTCACAGCATGAAGCATTCATGGTCTCTTGTCCCCATGCATTTGAGCAGACTATCATGGAGACGGAAGTGTGCCGAAGAATGGGCTCTTTCCTTTATGGTGGACAGGAAGCATAGAGAAAGGAAAAGGCCAGAGGGAAAGCTGCCCTTCCCTCCTCCAGAGAATCTTATAGATGAGGACACAGTTGACTTATTCAGTACAGTGTGTCAATGGTTCTTAGTTTTCCTCTTGATTAACTGTGCACACGAGTGGTAAAAAAAATTGGGAATGTTTTCTTAGTAAATTCCACTGGTAACTGCTGAACTCCCTTCCCTCATTTCCCTGTATTTGCCAATGGCCATCATGCCATCATGCTTCTATCTTCTCCATTTCTTCCTCTCCCTTGGCGTTCACACGCATGGCCATGGCTTCCAATGCTCTCATCTAGGTCAACAGCTCAGAGCAGTCCTTGAGCTTCTCACTCAAACCTCCAGATATCTGCTTGGTGCCTGCCCGTAGACCCCTAACTTGTCTGAAAGAGCCTTAACTCTGTGTCTTTGTATGCTTCCTCTGTTTGGCTCCTGGTCACTGGGCCTCATGCACACTTTTGGACAGAACTTCACCGTGACCAGGGCATATGGTGATGCTCTTCATTCTCCTCATGGTAGACAGAAACAGGGAGAGGGTAAGGGACCAGGGACCACATAGATCTTCCAAAGTACACACCCCCACACCACCCCTGCCAGTGACTCACTTCTTCCTGCAAGGCCCTGCAACCTAAAGTTTCCAGAAACACCTAAAATGATGCTACCAGTTATGACCACCAGACTGTGGGGGAACATCCCATATTTAAACAGAGCATTCTCCATGAAATAAAATAGGGCCATTTTAGTTGGTCTTATCACACAATTCATCCTCTTGCCTCTAATCCATCAGTGAGTTTTGTCAGTTTTATCTCCGAAATATCTCCCTTCTTTCTAAATCTCTCTCACTTATCTCCATTTCCACTTTCCACTCTGTCCCTGGGAGGACTATCACAGCCTCTGGCTAATCTCCTTCTTCTCACCCTTGCTCTCTACATTGGATTCTCCACACAGTGGCCAGCGTGAACTTTACAGAATGTAAATCAGCTCATGCTAATCACCTGATTAAAAGCCTGCCATGTTAGACTAGGAACGCGTGGGTCTCTTCCTGTAAAACACCACAGTAGTGTATTGATGGAGGAAAACTGTGCGCTATGAAAGCTTTGCAGCTGACACCAAAAACATTCGGTAAACCCAAACCTTGTTCATGACCGAAAGCAGAAACAGAAGAGAGTTTCCTTACCCTGGTAAAAGTGAGCAAATGCATTTTTTCCATTTATTGTTTTAAGTGTATGTGTGTGTGCCTGGGTTATGCATATGTACCATGAATGTATGGGTGCCCTCAGAGGCCAGAAGAGGGTGTCCAGAGACTTTGAACTCTGAGTTATAGGAGGTTGTGAGCTACCTAATGTGGGTGCTAGGAACTAAACCTGGGTCCTCTGGAAGAACAGCAAGTTCCCTTAACTACTAAATCATCTTTCTGACCACCTAAATGCATTGGGGCAAGGGTGCATACAAAGTAAAACAGCCCAATCCCACCACTCATGAAGCTAAGGCAGAAGAATGGCAATGTTGAGGCTAGCACGAGCTACATGGTGAAACACTGAGTCAGTAAAATAGAGGACTGAGAAGCAAAGGAAGAGACTAAGGGTAGGGAATAAGTCATACAGGGTACTTTTAATATCATCAGTGAAGTTTTGTTTTTATGCTTAGCTCTACTTTCACTGCATTACCTATACCTGCTGGGGATTAGGTTGCCTGAAGTATTTCATCACGGCTTGTTTTTGTTTTTTATTGAGCATTAGAAGGGTTAGGAGATGTTGCCAGCAGGGTCCAGGGTGGGGAGGCTGAGCCTGGAGAGCAACAGCAAGGTTGGAGGGCACATGTGAAAGCCATGAAGGCATGGGCACTCCTGGGGCTCTTTGGCTGACTAAGGTGGGACGTGAGAAGGGAGGGAAGACACTTTGGGTGGCTCATCCTGCACTGCATGAGTGACTGATGAGCGAAATATAAGCAGGAGGATATGGAAAATGAGCAGAGTCTGGAGTGGGGGCTGGGGACCCTGTTTCAAGGCACAGAAAAGAAAGAGGAATGAAAGAACCCGAGGAGATGGCTCGGTGGGTAAGAGCACTTACTATGCAAGCATGAGGACCCAAGTTCAAATCCCTAGAACTAACATAAAAATCAGGCATGACCTCTCATGCCTGTAATCCCAGCATGCAGGTGGAGACAGATGGATCATGGGAACTCACTGGCCACCCAGACTAAGTTTCAGATGCAAGGAAAAGTCCTTCCTCTGTCTCCAGAGAATAAGGTGGAGAGTGATAGAGCGGGACACGTCCTCTTCTGACCTCTGTCCACGGGTACATGAACATATAGCGCACACACACACACACACAAGAGACTTTGTTAAAGAGGAAAGAAACAAAATGTTTATGACATCTATTGTACTCTGTAACACTCAGACTTGGCTCTTGAAGACTGTCCCCTTTCTGATCAGACACCAGAGGGCTAGACCTCAAGATGAATACAAAATCACATTCTCCTGTACTCCACCCTAGGATCCCTGAAACTGCTGTCTCTCAAGGAGATGCCCACTCTGGCCACCTTGCACAGATGGCTCTGGGGTTGTCAGTGGAGTGTGGCCTACAGATCTGCTGGTCAGCAACACATCCCCTCTCTGAACAAACTACATTTTAAAGCTAAGCCGGATTTACACAGGAGTTTGAGACAATGTGAAGCTCTTACCCTGACTCAGCTTCTCCCATCACTAACAGATCACATCAATTGGCGAGCTATAATCTAGGTATCACATCTCCTTGTTAGACTTTCCTTGTTTTTGACCAGGTATTTTGTAGAACATTCCTCAACTGGAATTTGTCTGATGTTCTCTCCCTTCTATTTTTAAGTAGTGGAGACTGGCTCCCTTCCCGACAGCCCTCACTAAGTCTGAGGCAATGCAAGAGGAGCCTGCAGGCGTCTCTGTGGAGTGCTGTTGGGTCCAAGAAGCCCAGTGCAGAACAGCCCTTCATTGATAGATCAGGAAGCCACTCGGGGCCGAAGGGGGCAATCTTCTGCATTGCACAGCAGTGCGGCAACTCCTTCCCACATGGATTTCCTGCGCACATGCAGACAGTCTTTCCTGTTGTTCTGCTCTCCCTGACCCACTGCAGCCACAGATTGCTGAACAAATGAAACTGAGTTCTGAGTTTCACGATTAGTCCATCGAGGTCCTCTCTGAGAAGTTAGTAGGAAGATGTACATTCAGAGTCTTAGGGAGCTCTGTAAGGAAGCCCTGACTCAAAGCAGTGTAGACTACACATGCTATATACAAAGATTTTATAGATGATCATTCTCTTATACCTTTCCTTGAATGGGGGTGGGTGTTATGGAATAGAATATTTGTTTAACTAAGTAATGACCTGTTACATTTGTTCGTGTTGTAGAATAATTGTTTAACTATGTAAAGATGTGGGTATTTTTTGTTTATGCTGCGTTTGTTTAACTATGTAAAGATGTGTTGCTTTATTTTTTTAACCTTGCCTGCCTAAGGCACCTGATTGGTCTAATAAAAAAGATGAATGCCCAGTAGCTAGGCAGAGGAGGGATAGGCAGGGCTGGTGGGCAGAGAGAAAAGGGGAGTACTTTCTTGATTGATGACTGATGATTGATGATTGATGTGAGAAGGTTCAACTCTATGCGTGGTGCCATCCTGGTCTGGTGGTTCTGGGTTCTATAATAAAGCAGGCTGAGCAAGCCATGAAGCAGCAAGCCAGTAAGCAGCACTACTCTATGGCCTCTGAATCAGCTCCTGACTCCAAGCTCCTGCCCTGTCTGAGTTCCTGCCCTGACTTCCTTTGATGATGAGCTGTGATATGGAATTGTGAGCCAAAGAAACCCTTTCCTCCCCCAAGGTGCTTTTTTGGTCTTGGTGTTCATTCATTACTGGATTAGAAACCCTGACACAGTCTCCTTGGCTAGTCCTCTATGCCTCCCTTTTACACTCTGTGAAATGGGTTACTACTGAACTTGGAGACTGTAGAGAGGCTTAGGTGAGGCTAAGTCAACAGGGTTATGTTTATAATTATTATTACTATTCCTGTAATGTTGCTTTCATCACCAGGTATTAGCACGTCCTGTTTCCTTTTCACGTGCCATGACAAACCTTTAAACCAGGGTGGGAAGACACTGAGGAGCTATCTTGGCCTGTCTGGTTTGCCTGGACTGGAGAGCAGGGCCCTTCAGCTTGTCAGGGAGGTCCCTGTACCCTGTGATGAGCAGCATTTCACACTACAGGTAGCCCTGAGTAGACACTGAAATCAGGGTAATGCGCTGGGACAGGGGAAGAGAAGCAGTGTTGGGCTACACCTGCGCCTGTAACCTCAACACTGGGAAACAGAAGAGAATGCTAGGCCTTGCTACCCACTGATCTAGCCCAGCCAGCAAGCTCTAGGTTCAGTGAGAGATTGCGTCTCAAGGGTCTCCTTTTTCTGCCCCCACTTAGGGGTTAGCAGTTAAGGAAGTAAATATTTTCATATTTACTTAGGCATGGTGCCATATACTCAGAATCCTAGCACTGAGATGGCAGAGGCAAGAGAACAATTGAATGTTTGAGGCCGGCCTGGTAAATATAGAGAGCTCTGAGCCAGCCAGAGTTACATAGCAAGACCCTGTCGCAAATATAAAACAAAAACAAAACCAGGAGGTTCGAGAGATAACCTGTTCCGTGGTAAAGTGCTTGCCATGTAAGCAGGAGAATTCCAAGCCAACCAGAGTACATAGCAAGACCCTATCACAAAAATAAAACAAAAACAAAACCAGGAGGTTCGAGAGATAACCTGCTCAGTGACAAAGTGCTTGCCATGTGAGCAGGAGAGGGCCTGAGTGTGATTCCCAGGGATGACACAGAACACTGAGAATGTGCCCTGCATTAGTAATCCCAGTGCTGGGGAGGTAGAAACGAGTAGATTCTCTGGGACTGACTGAGCAGCTAACCCTCTCTAATAGAAAAGCTCCATGCCAGTGTGAGACTCAAAAAACAAGGCAAATGGCTGCTGAGAAACAGCCCATAGGCTTGCCCTCTGGCTTCCACACAGGTACACCCACATGCAGACACGCCTGTACAGCAGGTGCACCCACATAGGAATACACACATGCACCTGTATGAACACACCTGTGCACACACAAAATAACCAAACAAATCCAGCAGCCCCTGAAACCCTACAGCAGGAGATAGCGGGGCCACATGACCCAGGGTCAGAGCTGAGGAAGCAGGTCAGGGGGTGCGGAGATTGCAGTGGTGTATGAAGTCAGCCTGGGCCAAGCTGTAAAGGTCCTGCCTGATGTTCCATGAAGTATGTGTCATCACTAAGGTTCTGGAAAGCCAAAAGGGCCCGAGCAGGAGGTGGCAGCAAGAGGCTGCTTAGACCTGAATCCATTTGACCAGCCCTTTGAACATTTACCAGGATTCTCTTAACCTCAGGTCAGAGTTGGGGGGGTCCTTGACCTAACCCCAGTGACCTTCACATCCTGACCCTTTGAAGCTCTCCAAGCTCACGACCACATCAGGGACTCTGGGATCTATTTGCCATTACGGGTCTCTTTTATTCTGTCCCCACCAGTTCATGCATGCCTTTTCCTTCTTGGAGTATCATCAGCCTTTGTCCACCTCCCCCAGCAGTCACTTCCAGCCTGTAGAAATCGGACATGGGGTGGAGGAGGGAGACGTGTACGTGTCTCCCTCTAGGGCTCCCTAGAATCTTCAACAGGTAACACGTGAATTCCCAGGCAGGACTCTGGTTACGCTCCCACTGCTTTACCAGAGTGGCACATGCCCTCCCAACACACACTCTCCAACCCCCACTGCCACACTGGAGATGAATGAAGAGCCATGCACAAGCCTAGCCAAGCGCTCCACACTGCCACACTCCCAGTCCCTGGCTGCTGTTGTTATTATTTCATTAAACGAATAGGTGGAAAGAATGAACATTCTCCACAAATGTTAGTGGAGGTGTGAGCCGGGAAGGGTCCAGGGAGCAAGGTGAAGACACAGAACCAAGTCAGAAGAAGCCTGGAGTGGCAGACGAGTGGGCGGGGCTGCCTCCGTGCTGCGGAACAGGTTGTGGCTGCTCCCTTAACTTTTATTGCCTTGGCTGTGCAGGAGCCGTGGGAGCCCGGCTCCTGTCCCCAGGGCACCTTAAAGGAACTTCAGTACCTCAACTCCAAGTTCAAAGGTGGGAATGCCCAAGGTGTGTCTGAGGTGTGGGAAAAAGAGCAGAGTCAGGTAAGGAGGGGAAGATTGCTGCCCAGAGCCAAGTAGGAAGGAACAGAAAGGGAAGGAGGACAGGGAGCTAGGGGGCTAGTTTATCTGAGGGAAAGAGAGCCCACCAGGGAGAGGGTGGGCTACAACCCCTTACCCGTATAACCATATGCAAATTTACAGAGAAGACCACAGCTTACACCAGTCTGGAAAATGCCATGGGCGCGTGCAGCAAGTAGACGGACACGGCGCTGTGGAACAGCTTGTGAGCAGGTTTCGGGGAACACTGCGCTGGCAACGGTGTGCATGCTAGAATGGAGTCTCACTAGTTTTGCTGGTGGAAAACATGTTCCATGGCAAGACAATGTGTAAATATTTGAAATCTGACGTGTGGGTGTTTAATAAGATTGTCTGCCTCTCTGTAGAGGAGTCAGAAACGTTTACTTCTAATAGAAGTGGGCCCTGAGTTAACACAGAAGCCTAAGAGTTCACGGGAAGGTTCTCGCCAGCTGCATGGCCTTCTTTGCTTTGAGTCAGCCTGAGGCTCTCGGTCCTGCTTGGCTCTCATTCCAGGTTGGCTGGGTGCTGGGTCATCGATATACTCATTCCGCAAATAATTTCATGGTCAAGCCTAGCCTTGACCTCAGATAAACCTCACAGACTCATTCGATGGATGGTAGCACGCGGCTCAGAGCATCAGCATGGCGGCTGCAGGCCAGCTCACAGGCCCAGGTCTTCTGGACCAACCCTCTGCTCCAGTGAGAGGAAGCAACCAAAGTGAGCCCATGTGTTTCTGAGGCCAGACACCTCTGTCTCTTGGAGTCTGAGTCTTCCCAGCAATGGAGAGAGTCTCACATCAGGCCTCTGCGGGGTTGAGGACCAGCCACCATCAGCTTAGGTCTTTTTCCTTTTCATGCTAGACTCTAGGGCATGTAGCAGGGGGAAGGGAGATAGCCTAAAGAGACAGCATAGTTGAATCTGCTTTTGAAGATGGAGGAGATGGAGAGATGGTTCCGTGGTTAAGAGCACTCGTTGCTCTTTCAGATGACCCAAGTTTGGATCCCAGCACCCACATGGCAGCTCACAACCATCTCTAACTCCAATTCCAGGGGATCCAGCACCCTCTTCTGACCTCTGAGGCAGCAGGCTCACATGTGGTGCACCGGCATACGTGCAGGCAAAACACACACTTGAAATAAATTTTTTGAAAAATGACATTTGTCCTATTTTCCAGGGATGCTCCCCTGAATCAGAACCTGGCAGACACCTCTTCTGATCTCATTTTAGTTGGCATCTGTGCCTAGATCTCTAGGGAAGAACTCTTGGAGAGAAGGCCTCACTCCCCATTGCTGTCCTAATGGCAATGTAAGGCTGGGTGCCCAATCCTTCCTGTCTGACCTGAATGCCCCACCCTAACACCTTGGCTGCTGAAAGGCTCAGAACTGTATTGATAGGGAATTAAGGGGAATGCACATTAGAGAGAAACTGGGTACGGTGGCTCACACCTATAATGCTAGCACTCGAGAGGCTGAGGCAGGAGAATTGAGTTCAAGATCAGCCTGGGTTATATAACGAGTTCCAGGCTTGTCTCACAAAAAGAAACAAGTATGGAACTAGGTGGTGGGTGGTGGGGTGTGGATGAGGGGCCACATGGTTGTAGAGACTGGCAAATCCAAAACCTGCAAGGCTGGGGGTCAGCCTGGGGTGTGTCCAGTTTAGAGGCAGGGCGGTTCTGGCTATAGACTGCCCTTGGGCTTGGTTCCACTACTTGGATGATACCCACTCCCATTACAGAGACAAAGCTGCTTTAAGCAAAGCCCACTGATTTAAATTCTAATCCTGCTCCAAATAGAGCCTCCCAGAAATATCTGAATAAAAATCAAACAGCTGCTTATTGTGGCCTAAGCAAGATGACACACACAATTACCTATCCCAGGCCTTGCTTCTGGTTCTTTAGCTTTCCCCATCATTGAGTGAGGCTGGGGAAAAGGGGGCAATGAGCATTGCACAAACCAGAAATGAGGACATAGCCTCTCCTCCCCACATATCCCCCACCTAAGGGAGTGGCTCACTCCTTCCTTTCCTCTCGCTTGCTCTAGGTTTTAAATGGATTTAGCAGAGCATGTTCCTGAAGCAGCTCAGCTTGATCTGGGAGCCTTCCTCTCCTGTGACCTCTGGGGTGGCTTACCTGGTAGCATACTTGATGGTACCACTTACAAGATAATTTGCCACACTCTATTGCCCAAAGATCTGGCATTGGCTTCACAGTGACACTCTTCTGTGTCTTAGATGTTGCCTTCTTACTGTCTGCAGGTCCTGGGTAATAGAGCCATGAAACTTAAATTAAGACAAAGTATGCTGGGCCTGTGGGTTTTCCTCTTTTATTAATGCTTAACATCATTCTATAAATACTAGTGTGTTGAGGGAGGTCAGATGTGAAAGATGCTGTGGGATTACCTCCGTTCTGGGTGGCGGGTTACCAGGAAGTGTAACAGCACCAGGCAGAGGCTCTGCCATCTAGCAGGTGTCCATAGATCCTCTCCATCCCACTTTCTCCTTTGGAAGCCCAACCTCAGCCCATCACCCAGGTCCACCAAGGTTGGGGAGGGAGCCTTTGCTCTCCTGATGTTTGCAGGGTGGGTAGTAGAAGGGAGTGGCACAGTTAGGATCCTTAAAAACAGGAACTCAGGGCTGCAGAGGCCACTCAGCTGTTAGGAGAACTTCTTGTTCTTCTAGGGAACCTGAGATCAGTTTCCAGCACCCACATTAGAGGCTCACACCTGCCTGCAACTCCCACTCCAGGAGGCCTGAAACCTTCTTTTCTGGCCTCCATGAGCACACACACACACACAGAGACACACAAACACACATGGTTACAAAATAAAACAAATCTTAAAAACAAAATCAGGGGCTTAAAAAAAATTCCCCATCACTTACATTCTGTCTGGAACACTGTAGATACTGGTGAGCACTACTAGCTGACTAGGAGAGTTGGGGCACACCTACCTACTTAGAGGCCCCATGAAAGGTTATTTCGCCCCAATTGTAAATAGGAACATAACTCCCTAGAAACTGTTATGCATAGAGACAAAACTGTCAGTATTGCTACAGTGTACATAAAGAGTTACATTGACTTTTTCAATCGATCCAGCAGAATTACTGGCATATATAACTATTTTCCTTTGGGAATGTGTTACTGATGCTAAAGAATCTACTTCTTTATAAATTGAGACCCTCTTGTTCGTGCCATCCCCATTGCCACCTGAATCCAGTCTGGTACTGATGAGCGATGGGAAAGGGTTCTGCTACCTCCATCCACCCACGGTGCACATCGTCTTTCCTGCCGCTTGCTCCGAGGATGTTGTGACACCCCAGGGCGGAAACTGTTCTTGTTTTCACACTCCTCAATGTACACTCTCAGCCCCCGATTAATTGTGAATGCAAGAGATGGAGTGATCATCTCACTGCTTCTTAGAGACACACATTTTCCGACTCACACTTCATTCCTAGGGTGTGGGAGATCCTGTCATGAAGGCAGTGATGGAGAAGCGTGTGTGTAGCCGTGTTCGTAGCCACTCCAACACACACACACACACACACACACATACACACACACACACACACACACACCCTTAAGTGGGCCGGCCAAGAGTGACTTTCTTCCTCCCTCAAGTTATCCTGTCTAGCATTCCCCTGGTGTCATCAGAAGAGTGAGTGCTGTTGATGCAGGAGACACTCAGTTAATTAGAGTATGGCTATGAATAAACATGTGAAATGTTAACCGCTGGGGTTCCAATAGCAACGGTTCTGCGTTCTCCTTTTCCCTTTTAATCCATTATGCAAAGCTTTTAAAGAGTAGCCTAGGAAACAAATTCTGGAGAATATTTTTCAGCCTTGCATATTAGAGTCAGATCAGCAATTTTCAGGCTAGTGACAATTTGGGTTTTCATGACTGGAAGGGAGGGGTGTAGACTAGAGTTGATGCTAAACCGCCTGTGACACAAAGGGCCCCTACAACAAACAATTACAGTTCTGAGGGTAAAATTCTCTAAATTAAGTGGATATTTGGCCTGTCGCTATTATGCTATCGTCTGGGAAAGCAAACACTCAGCAACTGTTAGCAAGCATCATGTGTGCAGACTAAAGTATGTGCCAGGGCAAAATGCTTTTCTGATGGCTGCCTTCTGATATAGGTTTTCATGCCATGGTTTTAGAATTTTTTTACTTTTCCCTAAAGTGTGATCTCTCACTGTTAACTATTTTTTTATTCACAAATGAATCAAGATTTTATTACTCTAGGCAAGTAATTAGTGAGGGAGCAGAAGATGCTACAGAGTGTGTTAGATGAGTGGTTGGCCCACTTGCCAGCTGATTGCAGCAGATTGTGTTTTCTGCAAATGGCTCCGTCAGTATCTCCCACCCTACCTAATGTTCTTCTTAAGATGTGAGTCTGGCATTGCTTCCCTGCAAAAGTAGGCACTCTCTTCCTTGCAGTGGAGTCTAGGAATGCTTATGACTAATGTTATACCATGAGACTTCAGCTACGTCATAAAAGGAATGCAGCTTCCTCTGGTTCTCTTGGATCCTGGTCAGTAGGGAGGATGCACAGACAACCACGTGTGTACGCTCTGGCCCGCAGCCCCAGCAAAGGTGCTATGCCAGCCAGCATTAATCAGCAGACATGTGAGTGAGCAGGTCAGGTGGCTTCTTCCCTCTACCACTGAATTACCCATTGTCTCTAAGCCTTTACAGGCCTTGCGGAGAGCTAGGCTTTCCAAGGGCCTACACAATATACACATGAACTAGGAATTCTCCCTCAAAGATACATAAAATGTGTTCTATGATAATACTTCTAAATCACTTTATGTTGTGGACTTTTGGAAACACTGCTGAGTGGTCAAAAACACGAAGTCTACATTTTTCAGTCTCATAGATCTTCTAAAAGGATACATAAATAGCAAATGTACTATTAGACTTCTATCTTACACCTAAGGCAGATGACACTAATTGGTCCCAGAACTCTTTCTAGAGAAACAGACATCTGACCTTTAAAATGATTCTCAGGAAAGCACTTAACAATCAACAAACAAGTGATTGGGGGCGACAGTTTGATACCTCTCTGCCACACCCAGAATTCTCTGTGAACACTGAAGCTGGCTTCTGCAGGTTTCTCCCTAGACAGAAGGATTTAACTCTTATTTAATCAGCTGCACACAATGGATGTATGGTTCACTGTTTGCGAAACGTGTTATATTAGTTTGTCAGAAGACTGGGGGGATCATCTAATCATGACCATACAGTAATAGCAAACTGATGATGGCAGGAGCCACTCTTATTAAAAAAAGCAATCTCAAATCCCTCATATGTCAGGAAAATCTTTAACCCCTTTAAATTTTTGGAAAAGTCTCCAAAACAACTGAACAGATTCATACAATGAGACAAAACCTCAGGGGCAGCCAGTGGCTGGCGGTTTGTCAATCTGTGGCATAGTCCCAGAAATGCAATCTTTGGTTTTATCTTGACGAGGGCACATGTGTGGGAAAAGGGGTCGTGAGCACTTGGGCGATTTTGATGTTTATGTGTTCACATTACCACAAGCCCGGTGACCAGCACAGAGTGAATATGCCCTCTCTTTTTCAATTTTCTGTTTGTGGATTTGATGCCTTCAACCTCAAACTGACAGCTAAATCTCTCTCTCTCTCTCTCTCTCTCTCTCTCTCTCTCTCTTTCTCTCTCTGTCTCTCTCTCTCCTACTAGGGATGCTGGAAGGCCTGGAGTTGTTTATTTTGAAAAGGAATGTAATCATGGTTATTTGAAGAAAATGGCTGAGGTGATTGAATTCCTGGGCAGGCAGGCAGGCCACATGACTTGATGGAGTCACTATTTAACCCCACGATTTCAAAGATTCTGGTGACAACTCCACCCCCTTACTCTTCGTGGTAGCTTCTTTGGAACTTTGAATCAAGTCACCTGCAGAAGGGAGATGAGGTGGAGAGGGAGGGTCACATCCTGTAATTCTCAAACTGGCCTTTGGAGAACTTCCTTTTGAGACATTTTTTAATCAAGGCAATAACCCTGAGAATACTTTTAACTAAAAGTTGTCTTCTGTACCTTCTCTCCTGTGTCTCCTTCTCCCTGTCCAATTTCCTTCCCTGTCCATCAGCCCTTTCCCTGACAAACCAACAAATCTCATCTTAGGTTTACAAACCAGGGTG